GAAATAGAGAGAGAGAGAGAGAGATAACACGGTTTGATTTTTTTTATTTTTGAAAACAATTTTTCAAAATGGCAAAAAGAACACATTTTCAACAATCTCAAAATGGACACTCAAAACACAAAACACAAAATGAATTCAAAACTCAAAATACAAAACTGAAACATAAAGAGAACAGCCCCTTAATGCCCCTAACCAGGTAAATTTTATTTCTAGAATGACACACGTTCAACAATTTCTTGGCAGATTGAAACCTTATTCAATTTCTTCAAACATTCAATCCCGACTTCAAGAATTGGAATATCGCATTGAAACTTTATAAAACTTTAAACTTTATAAAACTAGAAAACTTAATTACTTTATTACCAAGATCCACAATGTTAAATCACTAAGAAAATTTATAATGTGAACATACCTTAATTCTTTGGGAATGATTCTTTAATACCGGATTTTGATTCTTGATCTTGAATCTTGATTATTGGCTCTTTTAGCTCTTGAGTTCTTGATCTTTATTTCGGCTTCTTCTTTTTTTGTTGACGTGGGAACCTATAGCCGCTATCCGCCAGCGGAGCCCCAACCACCCCCAAGGGGCAGAGGCCCGACCACTGTGAGTGCGCACTTGGTAAATCTCACTTCATGTGCAATAGTCTACAAACCACATAAGAGAAGTAAACCGCACTAGGAAAGCCCGGTGCGACGAGCTCAACCGATGAAGCGTTGACAAGGGATTTGAACTCGTGACCTTTGGTCTCTGCGTTCACCTGCTCCATTAACTCGGCCACCTCCGAATGGGCATTAATTTCAGCTTCTTGCTCCATACTCTTGATTGTCTTGTTCTTCAATTTAATTTTTTCAATACTTTTTCTTGATTTTTTTATTGTAATTCTTGATTCTTGATTGTGGATTTTAGATCTTCCTTTTCAATATGCGTATTCTTGTATTGATAGGATGGCATAAAAAATGAAAATCACATATGAATTTGGGGACTATAACCCTATGTATAATTCCATATATATTTGGTCCATTGTCAAGTACAATGGGCCAAATACAATTCTAATGGATCTGGTCTCTACACATATAATCAAATCCACACTTTATTTGGATACCCTAAGCCCAACGATTTAATTCTTTATTATATCACTTTAATTGGACTCAACTTTAAGATATTAGCATACACAATTAATTACATATATAGGCTCACATGACAAATTGATAAACCTAAGATATCGAGGTCCTTAATCTCATCTAAAAGTGGCAAAAACCCCCAATAATCTCCTAATAAGATTATTACATTCTTTCGTCTATGTCCTCCTATACTCTACAATATCCGTTGTAGAGGTGGTCTTGAGGGTGCACAAGTTGAGTGACATCCTCAACATTGTAGGGACACCAAATTT